CAACATATCTATAGCGATCTCTTTCCACTGTGCCTCCATGATATATGCTCACTAGGTTATCCATCTAGTTCATACACATAACAAAGCACATTTCCTTTAGTCCAATATAAATGAAGCATACTAAGTACAAGGTCTCTAGTATGTAATAACTAACTAAATAGATACTATCAATTCACTACTAACTACTAAGTACTACTAACTAACTATGTCAAGTAACTATCTAACTAACTATGTAACTAACTATCTTACTAACTATATAACTATGTAACTAACTATATATCTAACTATGTAAAGTATCCATCAATCAACCTATCAATCTAAATATCTTTCTACCTATCTAAATCACTACCACACTAACTAACTAATAACCACTGTTAAATAAGAACAAAATTAAAAAACTAATGTACCTCGAGTGCAGGGGAGGCGCAACCGGTCGACAAGAGGCAGAGACGGCTGGCGGGGAAGCTGTCGTGCGCCCACGCGTGCACTCGCCCGACAACCGGAGGTGCCAAGAGGGCGGGGGTAGGCGGCCATAGGAGGCCGACAAACGGCACCCCACTACCGGCCTATGGCCCCCGCTGCCCTTGTGGAGCGGGCAAGGGAGGGCGGCGCGGTAGGGGTCGGCGCGGTCGTGGCCGTCTAGGTTCGACGACGGGGATGGCGGCGCAGCAGTCGTGGGCGGGGCAGGGCGCCACGTAGCTTGGCACGCGGGGCGGGGATGGGCGTGTCAGGGCACTCCCGGCAGACGCGACGCGGCACGGCGCGCAGGGCTCGGCGGCCCGGGGCGTGCGTGTGGACGAGCGGGGCAGGGCGCGGCTGGCCGATGCGCAGGATGGAGCGGGGCGGGGCGCGAATGGCCGCGGCGCCGGTACTCGGGGCCGGCGCGGCTACCGGCACGGAGCGGCGCGGCGCGCAGGGATCGGCGGGCTAGGCGCGGCCGGACGGTGCGCGGCTAAGCATGTTAGAGTTGCTTGGGGCGGGGCTGGGCAGCGCGACGAGGAGCGGCACCAGCGTCGGGCAGCGTCGAACGGGCGGGAGACAGAGGCGTGAGAGAGAATGGGAGAGGAAGAGAGAAAGAAAATGGACCCACCTGTAAGGCCGACGCCAAGATATTTGGCATCGGGCTTGGCGCCAAGATCTGTGGCGCCAAGGTGCCTGTCAGGTCACCGTCACGTTTTCATCGATGCCTACGTGGCCCCAAAACCTAGGCGCCAAATACACTGGCGCCGAGACGTGTTAGTTCGGCGTCAATAACCCTGGCGCCGAGGTGAGGGTCTAGATTTTGAAAGCATACCACTAGGGGCAGATTTGTGAAAAACTTTCAAAAAAAGGGCCAAAAAACAAAAAATTCGACAGTCCGAGCATGTGCAAACTGAATATATGTGGGCAGATCTGACCACATTTTTTTGTGTTAAAGGAAATCAATCGTGGCATTAGATACAAATTGCACTAATTTTCGCATGTAGTTCAAAATATCAGTCACCTCTTAGCAAAGATCATGAAATTTCTATTTTATTGCACGATAGATGTTTTGGGCCACTGAATTTATCATCAAGCTCAAATTTGTCCCTCGGGACCTTTGGATCTAGTTCTTGCCTGGTTCAACTCTAGCACGTGGAGAACACTTCCACCAACCATCTAAGATCAGTTTTGGCTAGGTTGAGGCATGAGAGCATCATGGGGAGGCTTCAAGGACTCCTACCCCACTTCAGAATGTTCGATAGAATCAACGAAGCATCTCCAATATATTCCTCCAAGTCACTTTCTATCACTATAAATGGAGCCCTCACTCCCTCTCTTTCGAAACACAAGATGAGAAGATTAAAAGCTCTGCTCTCCTCTGCTCTACTACTACTTAGAAAAAGGGATAGAGCCATGGTGAGTGACAGGGAGAAGCCAGAGTTATCGGCTTCTCTACCACTTTGTACCTTGAAAGATGTTGCTCAACTTCGAGTAACGTCTGGGTATTGTTAGGTAACTTTGTTCCCTTCTGATTAATTGAGCATTCGGTCATTACTTAAGTTGTTTACAAGTTTCTCTTCCACTGCTTAGTATTTACTTGGAGTGGGTCCCTTGCTTTGGCGTCGAGTAAGGTAGTATCAATAGTTGTAGTGTGGTGCCTATACTAGAGGTTACCTTGGTTTGTATTTAGTTCAACATATCGCAGTGATAGCCGACAGGTGGCATCCCTATCGGGCCTATGTATTCTACCATGTTAGTTCTATTCTATATGACTTTGGGGGGTGGACTCGTAGCTCTTCTTCTCATCCCTTTCTGTGAGTTGGATGGTCTCAGGTGTCCAAAGTAAACAACATGAGTAAACTCTAATATGCTTAGTTCGTTAAAATAAGTAGTGTTATCCTTCAAGTACTCTCTCTACTCACCTATCTATCTTTCTCTTCTCTCTTCCTCATGGCTATCTTAGAAGCCTATATCTCAGGACATGACTACGGACATCCTCCTCAGTACCACAACATCAATTGCTCCAGGGTCCCGATAAAGCGTCGTCTCCCTCTCACAAACTTGTTATGTTAGCTATAGGCTTATAGCAACATCATTCCTCTCATATTTAAGAGAATATCGAGTTACAAAAGACTGACTCCAATAACTCTACTTATGTACTAGTACTAAATACAACTTAGAGATCTAATGGGTATCCTCCTCAAATCCTACCTTTGGCTCGCTTCTACAATATGGATAGAATACGTTCGTCGGCGCAGACACAAGTACATTTTCCCTCTCAAGTAAGGAGTCACTCATTGATGCCTCAGTGTTCATCCTCTTCTTTTATGACGAGAGCCGCCACCTCTATATATCTGTACGTCGGCTCTGGTCTAAGAATTAAAGGAAAATATGCATGCATGGAAAAGTTGGAGGTCTCGTTTATCGATGTCTACGTGGATTGTAACTTTTGGTTAGGGCTAACGATCAATAATGTTGTGTTGGGCTTGCTCTAACTACCCATACCCTCGGCCTTGATGATCTCTTGGTAGACAAAACGCGAGGCCGAGGCACGGAGTTTTTAGATCACCCTTTTAGGTGCTCTCACAACTCTACCTTTTTCCTGGAGTAGAGCTACACCTGTTTGGCTGAAAAAAACATAGAATAGAGCTTTTTTTTGAGAAACACATAATAGAGCTGAAAAATATAGAGTACTAGTTGAATTCACCGTGCGTTGTTGCGGAAATATGTGGACACCAATTTTATAAAAACATTGGATGAAAGAAGCTAACCAAAGGAATAAAGAATAAAGTTGCGTGGCATTTGTTTGGAGAATAATGTGTATGATATAGGAGTATGGTGGGAAAAGATATATAATGCATAGAATGGAGAATTGTCATAATATATGTAATTTAAAATTTTGTTTGTCGTTTTGTGCAACGATTTGTTTGTCATTTTGTGCAATGGGATGACCAAATATCAACATGAACTTAAAATTTTCTTTGCCATAATGGCTAAAAGTTGAAGGAAACTATGTGTAAAAATATTTCAGGGATTGAAAAAGGGAACGATGGGATATTTTAAGAAGGTTACCTAGTTATTTGTGTTTCCATGGTAGTCGTAGCCTGATTTTTGGAACTAACCAATAAAAAATCGAGACTTACGCTTGGCCAGTGATGAAGATTAAATTATGGGACATTCTTGATTTTTTTAGTATAAAGCAACGGCCAGCAGTTGGTTGTCTAATGCACGTAACAAACCCGTAAGAAACACTCGACTGGACACTTGATTTTGACACCCTATGTGAGTCCAAAGAAGATCTTCACGCATGACGATAAGACAAACACATCTCATCAATCAAACATAATCTCTCCTCTGTACAGAAATTGATAAACTTTTGGGTGGAATGGAGATTAATGGGAGTACAACTAACGAATCTAGCTGCCGGCGTGGGCCAAGAGGTCACCTACTACTCCGATCGAGGAGCCGGCGGTCAGACATCGTCCCTGGGTCACAGGTGAAGTGGTCCCTGTGCACTGAATGATGGCCGGCGATTCCGTCAAGGCCGTCTTCTGACGGCTCGCAACCAATCCAGGATCTCTGCCCCGGCGTTGCCATCCTCTGCGTCTTCGCCTTCCATCCCGTCCTCCTCAATGCATCCTCCAGCCCAAGAGGAGGTTGTCCGATGGCTTCCTTCTCTCTATCGTAGCTTTCCTTGTCCTTCTTATCATCTGGGACGTAGATGTGGAGAACATACTGGATCACCTGCAAGTGTGCCATGAGGCCATTGGCTAGATGCATATATATGATGGAGAGGAATCACGGAAGATTGAAAAGCCAAGGCAGGCAAGGTCCCTTCGGATGCCCGAAAGTTATAGGAGGCTGCCGTTTCGTGAACTCAAGTGGTCGTTGCTGTTACCGCCGATAATGTGGTGAGAAAAAATTTGAGGGTCTTTGATTTCTGATGACGTGGCTGCATGAGAGCTCAGCTTTAGAGTTGGGTATGAACTATAATATATAGAGATTATTATAGATTCCATGATCAGTCTGGGCTTGCTGGAGCGGTGGTTTTGGGACCAATGATGAAACATATGTGGCCCTGTATGGCTGAAAGACACATTCGTTCTAGCCCGCGGACGGTGGGCGTAGTTTGGGAGTACGTGGGATGACCTCGCACGGCTCGGGCAGTTGGGCGAGAGAGACGCAGCGATTGTTGGTCTCGGCCAGGCGGCCCAGCAATCTTTTTTTTTTTACGCTGACGCGGCCCATCAATCTCGCCAGTAGACGCACGCGGCACGCACTCATCACGCATTTGGATGTTTAATTTGAAGGGATTCAGAGCCGGAGGGAACAGTTATGCGTACCAGCAGTTTGCACGTCATTTGAACTCAAGCACTGCCCAACGTTCGCCAACTACGCGCGCGCCGTACGTACATCTACATAAGAACGCGCCCATGAACAGCCGAGCAGCAAACCAACCGCTTGCTTTTCCAGTCTCTGGGAACGTCGCGAAAACAGTTCCACTTCCACGTACGTTCTCTCTCACCAAGAACGCACCCATGGACCGCAGCAACGTCGCCGCGGCCGGTGCGGTGTCCGTCGAGGTGCGCGGCGGCGGCGGCGGCTCGCCGCCGGCGGGCGCGGGGAGGAAGCGCCGCGCGGTGGCGAGGGGCGTCCAGAGCACGCTCTCCAAGACGTCCATGCTGGCCAACTTCCTCCCCACGGGCACGCTCCTGACCTTCGACATGCTCCTCCCGGCCGCCTCGGGCGACGGCACCTGCTCGGCGGTCAGCGTCGCGATGCTCAGGGCGCTCCTCGCGCTCTGCGCCGCCTCCTGCTTCCTCTTCCACTTCACCGACAGCTTCCGCGCGCCGGATGGGAAGGTGTACTACGGCTTCGTCACGCCGCGGGGCCTGTCGCTGTTCAGGACCGGGCTCGACGGCGTCGAGGTGCCCAGGGAGGAGAGGTACCGGCTCGCCTTCGTCGACGTCGTGCACGCCGTCATGTCGGTGCTGGTCTTCGCGGCCGTCGCGCTCGCGGACTACCGGGTCTCCGGGTGCCTCGTCACCGGCCACCGCAAGGAGATGGACGAGGTGATGGAGAGCTTCCCGCTCATGGTGGGCGCCGTGTGCAGCGGCCTCTTCCTGGTGTTCCCAAACACCCGCTACGGCATCGGTTGCTTGGCTGCGTAGAAACAGCAGAGACCAGAACAGAGAGTATGGCAGTGTAACTTTCTTCCGTACCTGTGAATCTGTGATCAAATGGTGTCTTGGATCATTTTATGCTTCATGTTTTCTTAGCACCTGTAAAAACTTGGATGTGATGTAATCCTATCTTAATCAGTACCGATTTGTAATTTCTTCAGAATGAGTCAGAAGGGGGCTGGGGGGGAAATCAGGCGTGGAGTGAACATTGAATGGATTATACAAGAGAATGGCCACCAAATAGCTTTACACCAGATGCAAAATGCATTCCTTTCAAAAGAATGGTAAGACTGGCCCAATCTATCTATCCTAACGTAAACTGCCGCCGCTGTATCCTACATTCTAGCAAGATACTAGGAGTATTTTACAAGCCACAAAGTAAGCAAAGCAGTACCCTCCTACCTACGCCAAAACAGATGTGACCTACATTCTGTCTACGATGCATATCCCCAAGTTTGACTTGAAACTCTTCAAACTGCGGACGAAACAAACTTAGAAGATATCCAAAACTTTGTTTCCCTTCCAGTTCTGCAAGAATCCTCTTAGGCGGGGCTGTATATATCAAGAACATTTTAGCGTGACGGTGTCTGTTCAAGCAATGGCCAACAGCAACCACCGTAACATAAAGCACCATTCGCATTATTTCTGTTATTCTTTGCAACATGTTCCTCGTTTTGTTTTCTGAACCTTATCCCAGAGGCACATCATATCCCTTGGTTCTTGGTAGTGAGCAACCACATACCCATCCTCGCATCCTTCAACCAAGATCCTCCCATCATTCTCATACTTGACATCCAAGCCATCCTTCTTCATCTCATTGATCCATATTCCCATCGCGACATCCTCCAGCTTGAACATCTGTAAGAGTGATGATGATAATATCCTATTCAGTATAGAAAGAATTTGAAATACCATGACCACAGCGGTTAGAAACCAGCAGCTACTAAGGTTGCGTCTATTTTTAAGATACTGAGTAGATCATACATCACAGTATTTGTCATATTTATTGCCTTTAATGCTATCCAAACTGAAGCAACTATACCGTTCCAATTACTCCATATAACAGCACGAAAATAAATTTCCACAGAAGTTTGGCAGTACCTTTAACTCCCCACTCTTGTGTTTCCTGTAAACTTCTTTAGCTATGTCCTTTGAAACAATATATCCTGGTCCATGCGCCCATGGAGGATAACTCTCCTCAGGCCATTCCTAATTCAAGCAAAACATTAGTTACAGTTACCACACTTGATCCGCCGCACAAAATGGTAAAACCAGAACTAAATTATTGATAATAACTAAATAAGGCAGCAAAATATGCTTAAAAACCAATATGCTAATAAGCAGAGTGACAACCAACCACTAGTTAGTGCTGCAACACTGCGACAGTATGCAGGTGCTTAACCAGCTTTTATATGTTTCTCATACATGCATGCAGGAGCCCCTAACCTCCTAATGCTGCTTTTATACAAAACTTGAGCTGCTTAAGTGAGCATTTACGCAATGTCTCAATCCACCATTTATAGAACATTAGAGAAAACACATGGCAGAGCAATGGTCTAGAGGAAGAGCCTTATCATATATAGAAATGATATTTTGCAGAATCTCTTGATATAAACATATAGCATTTGCGGTCCTCAAACTTGTACTGGGGTGTCATTTAGGTAGACAAACTCTTAAAATCTACATCTAGGTTCATACTCTTGTTTAAGTGTGTCACATGAGGTCCAAATCACCCTAATCAACATGTAATTACGTATGTGGCAGTGGCACTCTTGCATGAAGTCTTAGATATCCCCGTTCTCTACTACATGCTCATGGCCATTGTCACTACCATGTATTGTGCATATAAAATTACCATGTACCATTTGATATGCCACATAGACTAAGCTTGTGCTGATTGGAGTGATTTGGACCTCAAGTAGCACATTTAGCAATTTTAGGGACCCATATGTGCAATTTAAGAGTTTAGGACACCACAGAGCATGTTTAAGGACAATTGGTGTATTTTACTCAAGTATATATAATTTAACACAAGTTACCTCAGGGGTTATGTACCACTTGCTATATGGATCTCGATGAGGCTGGGAATCAGAATTGACACGACCATACAACAGTCCATGGCTGATATTGGTTCGGTCGAGGGAAGAAAGTATTTCATCTACTCGAACAAAAGCATCGTCATCAGTTTTCATCACATACTTGGCTGACAGGACATTTGTCTGCAAAGAACACTTGCTTAGAAAATGCAAACATAATATCAAGTGCCGTCTAAATAAAATAAAAAATAATGCAATAAATCAGATATACCCCATAGATGCAGATCGCTATGGTCTTCCAAAGAATCAGGCTATAGTAATCCACAAATGGCATCAACTGGATGTCTCCATATGTTCGCGCTTCATTCCAGAGTTCCTCATTGACCACCTCATTTTTGTGCTTCAAACAATGGAAGGTAGGGCCAGATGAGTATAGACTCTAAATTGAGATTTTATTCAAACTAGTAAAAGGGCGTACCCAGTGCAGAGAGCTCCCGCTCTGTGCGGGGTCTGGGGAAGGGTGTCAGTGGCAAGCCTTACCCTCGCCTGTGCAATGCGAGGAGACCGCGACTCGAACACGGGACCTTCGGTCACAGGCAGTAAAGACTCTACCGCTTGCACCAGGCCCGCCCTTCAAACTAGTAAGGGTAGAAAATTATAACATATAGAAAAGTGACTGGTAAAACCATTATGTTTAATGGCTGTTCAAACAATAGTATTGATAAACAAAAAAAATGGTGTGATAGGTTGCAATTGCAAGCAGTTATGTAGAGAAAGCAATCAACAGAGACAGAAATACCCTCAATGGAGTGGTAGTTGCATGCATAATTTGTATCTGATTGACCACAATAGTGCACTCGACATATTGTTTAGGATCTATTAAGATGAGCGATGCCTTCTAGTATGCTATTGTCCTTCTACATCATAATTTATCTTGTACATACTTCTAAGCATAGAACCATACTAAAAACTAAAAGCCAAAGCAACTATATTGTCAAATTACCATAATACAGCTGTCCACTTTCAAAGTTTTATTCTTACCAGGCCAACAAAAAAACGAACTGCAACTTTTCCTGAGCGCACATCATCATACTGCATCCAAGTTCTGCGAACTGCCATTCGGCGTTTGAAATTATTAGCTGTAGAGAAGACCCCAATGAAAAGATCAACAGATTTATTCATGGGCACAGGTGGAGCCTTCAATGTTTCTAAGTCGGTGACATGCTCGAAGTCCTCTGTTGTAGGCAGGCCACTTGCTATCACAGATAGCAATTTAATATCTCCTGCAATTCTTACTTCACCAACAAACCCTGGTTCCAAATCCTGGAGAGATCAATATATAAAGTGTAAATATAACAATAAAATAAAGCAGCACATAACATACTGTGATATCACTAAAAATAGTGCATAACTAAAGAAAATAGTTTCATGTTAGCATGTATGAAATGACAAATACTTTAGCACATAGGGGGAAATCATTTTGCCTATAAATTGCTGTAGGATGCAAAGGAATGATGGGTTATTTATACTTATGCAAGACTTACCTCTCGGAATGCAAACGAAGTGATATGTTTGCCATCTACAGTCATATGTATCCCATGTGCTCCAATATGAAGAATTGCTACAGCAAGATATCCCTGTCTGAATGGAAAATACTTTCTAGGTTCCGCTTTCATCTTCCTTGCAGCTGTCATGGTCGAAACATTTGAACGCAACCTAGAGGGAAGGATTTCTTTCTGGTCCTCACCTACCATGCTACTACATTTTTCTAGATCATCCACTGTGAAACAAGAGAAAGAAAAGAATCAACCCTATGAAGAAGATTGTCGCCAAGACATATCATTTTGTTTAACAGCATATAAGAAATAAAAACAAACAAACAAAATGCATATCTAGATCAATCAACACATTTCAGCTCCATTGTCTTAGTAAAGTGCATAGTTATGGAGATATATGTCAGCAACATCAACTGAAAAAGTTTTTCATTATATTTTGTATGTGCATGGCTAGCTTTAATACTTTAACAAGTGGATAAAGTAGCCAGATCACAGAAAGATTTACTCATAATATCATGGTTCTTGCATGGCCTGCATAAGATATGGACCACTGAAAGAAAAGTACCTTTTGCACTGTCCTTAGCATCTGAATCAGGAGATGGGCAACGGTTTTCAGAACCCCAATCATCAGCTATTGTCCATGTATTTTGGACTATTACAGGATCTTCTGTGAGTTTATCACCAAGAAGGCGGACATTATAATGAAGGACAATTGGAGGGTCTGGTTCACCAGGAACTGCAGCTCCAGTTAACTCTATCTTAAAATTGCCCAGAAGACCACCAGGAGTGCCAATAATAGTTATTGAAGAGCCCTGAATCAATCCACAGGGAAGTTTTAAAGCAAACCTATCCCCTAATCTTGTGGCATTCATCCTTCGGATAGAATAAGGGCATTGCTTTCCTTTGTCCTTCTTCTGAATGCTGCCATTAACAGAAACAACTGAATCGTCATATGCAAGGGCTGTATTGAGTTCCCTCCATGCAACTCCAGCTTCCTTGATTGCCTCTACTCCATCTGGTAGAATGTGGGCATGAGATAATAGGTGTCTCAAATGATTCCAAGAATGTAAAGATTGAAGTTCTCTATCAGAGAGATTTCTGGTAATGGAAAGGTTGGATGCCAAGAGTCTGGTTGATATTACTTCAGAAGAATTCTGTGGATTCTGGATTGCAGGTGGGTTTGGAACATCTAACCAATGTAATTCTGCCGTCCTGTTTTGCTGAAAAAGATACTGAAGCGATTTGTCTGCAAGTGGGCTATCCAATATCACATATCTTAACATCAAGATGATGAACAAAGATACAATGACAAAGCCGCCATGCCATTTCTTCATCACTCAAAACCTTGTGACAAGTTGGTCCGGAGTTTGCATTCACTATATCTTCAATCTAAAGCATCACATAAATTCAGAACCAAACCATCCAATCAGAAAAGTTGAACAAATTCCTGCTGAACTGTCACCCCCATGTGGTGTATTCAACAACTCCCTCAACGTAACCAAACATTCCCAGGTGTATCCAGAAAGCTTTTATAACAACAAGGAAGCGTACCAACGAAGCTTGAGGCAGGTTGGAGTGCCCTACCAACCAGAAGAAAACAGCAGACAAGAATCAACTTTATCCTAATGTTTTCTCACACTGCACATTTGAGATGTTGGTTGCATAAAAGCATCAATTCGGGTATACAAGGCAAAAGGTTAGGCTCCAGTCACATACTCCTATACACATACTTGCTTTTGTGCATATCACGATCTGTAACTAATGACGAACTCTCAAACCCCACGGCTAGGGACTCATCACTCAGCAATCATGCACTTCAATTCGACTAAGAACAAACGTCACTAACTCTTGTGGCAATACATGCCGAATCCAATTCTCGCTTTAAATGGGGAAGAGTTAGGGTTGGCTACGAATCACATCAAGAAACAACAGATAAACTGTTTGGGGAAAAAAAAATCAAGAGTAGCAAAACTATCACAAAATCCTAAGGCGGGATCGCGGCTACTAATAACCGAAAAATTCCAATTACAAAATATTTGTAAGAGGAGGGGGAAAAAAACGAGCAGCATAGTAATTTTTTTTACTTCGAACAAAAAGGTCATAAAATAGACAGCGCGAATCTAGCGTCACCGCATAAACCGCGCCGACAATTTTCTTTTCGAAGATTTTTTTTTTTTTAAATGAAAGAGCATCACTCAGATACTCTTGCACCTTTAGAAATGGGGACGCAGATCACCAGAGTCCCAACGAAATCTGGCGCACGCCAACACGCGAAATCAGAAATGAAGCAAGCAGGCGGCAAAGCACACGAGCACGGAGCACGCGAACCCCAAATTTCGGAGGAAAATCGCCACACGACAGCGTCATCCTCCTCCACACGACCGCCCCCCATCTCGCAATGTGTAACTCCAAGCCCGCAAAGCACAAGCCCAATGCCAGAATCACTCACCAGTCACCAGGAATCCTCCGCCGCCGCCGCCCGGCCGCTGGGCCGCTCCGAAGAGCCTCGCGCGCGCTCGGCGGGGCACTCCTGAGTCCTGCCTAACCCCGCTGGCGCAGGCGCCGCCTGAGCGACGGAGCTAGCGAGCAGCAAGGCCTCCTGAGGAAGCCACCGAGACCGGGAGCGAGCGACGAACAAGTCAGGTGAAGGTAGGACAGGAGAGCGCAGGAGAAGAGAAGTCGAAGGCGGTGTGTGAGGGAGGGAGCCTGTGACTGTGAGGAGGCTGCTTCAGGTCCACGCCACGGACCGACCGACCGCGAGCGGGCGAATAGGCGCCGTCGCGTGTCGCGGGGCCGGCGGGGCTCGCTCGGTCAGTCTCTTTGGCCTGCCGTGGCGGAGAAGAGAAGAGGAGTCGCGGTCGGGCGGCGATGCGCCTGCGCGAGGGTGGGTGTACTGAGTAGGTGGGTGGGTGCGTGCCGTTGGGTCGGCCGGGGCCAGGCTGCTGCCGCGCGATGCGGACTGGGATCTCACTCGTTTGCCAGTTGCCACGCTTGTTTCGGCGGTCGACGCGGCGCGGCTCGACGAGCGGGTTCTTGGCCTCTTTCTCGGTCGGGGAGCAGCGCCGGAGGAGAGGAGAGGAGAGGAGAGGAGCGGCTTTGTGCGAGCACACACACCGGTGCACAGACACGCGGTTACGGGACCGAGGCCTCCTTCTGCAGTCATCTGTGCCAGGTCCCGGACCTGTGGCTTTTTGTCGCGTCGCGTGCCTCGCTCTGCTCTTTTTTACGATGGTCCTAGAGCCTCCTATCCGGTTCCTACTCTCCCGGCCAGGCGGATTTGCTGCCAACGATGCGGATTTTGCCGTAGGGAGGTGTGTACAAATGTGCAATCACAGTGTCGCTCAAAAAAAAAAGTCATGCGAACTAGAGGGAGCTTGTCCGATGAACACCAAAACCTCCTTATAATATTTTACTAAAAAAATTAAAATACTGTTTGATTTAGCTGTGAACCGTAAAAAGCTACTATGAGCTATATTTGTAAAAAAAAATTATTGTCACCTATACCATGTAGAAAGACGGGTAAGATGTTAGTTGAAACAACAATGAAATCATTCCCCTCTCTATCTCACTTAAAACAGCTAGAAAACATTTCTTTATTTTCACTCATTTAGAAACAGAAAGCTAACAACATGGTCTAAGACGTTTGCTTGTATTGCGTGAAAGCAATGGCTTCTAAAAAGGCTTCAAATTATTCATCTAGTGGGTGTTATGCTTTTTAGTTGCACAAACATTTTTTAGAATTTAACCCAAACACAACCTAAGTTTGAGCTCTCTAAATAAAGACACTCAGGTTATGTTCGTAAATAAGGGTATGTTTGGGTGGACTAATACTAGTTGTTAGTCTGGACTAGGAATAAAACTAGTTGTTAGTTGGCTAATGGTTACTAGTTGTTAATCTGGACTAAAATTAAACATGTTGTTAGTTGGCTAATAGTTAGCTGTTTAAAATTAGTCATGTGTTGTTCAAATTTGTTCGTTTGGTTCGTGGCTCAATCGTCAGAACGATCGTAAATTTTCAAATTAATAAAAGATTTTTCTCTCACACAAAACCAGCCAAAGAAGATTTCTTCACAAAACCAAAGAACGATACGAACCAAATTACCCGAGCAGTGGAGATCCTAGAAGTAATAGATAGTACTATTGCTATGCAAAGACCTTTATACCCTTTACCTACTTGTTGTTCCAGCAGAGACCACAGAGGTTTTTTTTTTACAATTTAGTTCTAGCTAGGTGGGATTTGTCAACTAGTGGGCTAGCAATTAGTTGGGACCTAGTTAAAAAACAATTAGTTGGGACCTTAGCTAAGGTTTAGTCCACCCATTAACTTACTACCTATTTGGATTCTTGTGGACTAAGAATTAGTTAACTCGTTATTAATTCAGTGGATCCAAACACGATGTAAATACTACTTATCTGTGTTACGTTGAAGAGTCAAACTAAAATAGGTATGTTTAACGACAAGAAACATAAATGCCATTGTGATTTTTATTAGAACTGTCAAAATAACCTAACAAATTATTGCCTTTTGTATTCAGCGGTGGCACTCTGAACTTGCAGGTCATGTGGCCGTGTCACCTTAAGGCAAAATACATGCTCTCAAGAGGGGCTCATGCTATGAGCATAAATAAAGACAAGCATTGCATGTGCTATGTTGGGAACTCAAACTTAAACATATATATGTTAGATGACAAGAACCATAATATAAGCTCATGTCACCATCTTATATATGTAGGAGTATAGGTGAAAGTGACGTGGGTAATTCTTCCAATATGAATTCGAGATACGAGAAGAGCTTTTAATATTCATGCTAGATACGGACAATCCAAATTTTATTGTGTATAGATTCAAGATATAGGATATGGAATTAGTAAAATTCAATATATATGAATTATCGGAAAAAAAAATTATATGGATTTCCCTATGTTTAAAATAGAATATCCAATATTTTCTTTCCCTAGACTAAAAACAAAACAATCCATAGTAAAAAAAAGTTCGTTAAAAACTCTGATTTTGTGATGTGATTGTTGCGTGCTGAAGTTTGAAGATTTGGTTGTTTACATGGGCGCTGATTGAATAGTCTGGCTGCCTAACATGCATAACTAACTGAGTGCGGAATGATTTCAGCAATACCTATTTGATGTTCAGGTTACAACCGAAAGTGTGCTTTCCCTTGAGGAGCCCAAATTCTGTTGGGCTGTCTTCGTTAGAAAGAACGAGGAATATTTCTTCATAAAATAAAATGTATGTACTTTTTATACAAGGAAAACAAGCGTCGCTTAATTTGCTTGGGAGCCGGCACTTGGTCGTCGGGGTTGGGGAGCATGTGTTCGGCCCGGACGTCTGGTGATCTAGCATGGACCAGCGGCTGCTCACAGCACACCAGAGCCGCCGAGCCGAGGTTTACACGGCGGTGCCTTGCTGGACCTGGAAGCTGGAACCGTCAGTATCTCGCTCTCTGTTTCCCGGTCAGTTTGGCAAAGCCCGAAAGGGACACAACACGACGCATGCAGCGCGGTCCACGCATTTCCATCGTACCGCCGGTACACGGGAGAGCACGGAGCCACTGGCGTTAGTTATGGAAGAGCGATCGATCGCGGGCCGGGGTTAACACCTCCGTGCGTGCTCTGTCAACCAGCAGGTCCCGTACTCCCGTGGCTCCACGTGGATTAACGACTCCGGCGGCCAGGTGTCACGGTCATCTGCCTATGGTACCAAAACCTGTGCGTCCGCCACGCAAGTTTTCTGTACAACTGTACGGCGTTCCAGAAGGCCTTTTTCGCCTTTGCCAAATTACGTACTAATGCCAAAGCGAAGGGACACGTGCCTACACGTAGCAGTTTTTGACGCAACAGGGCGGCGAAAATAGGGGTACGTGGCAACTGGTAAATGGATCACGAAGGTTGATTTTGTAGAACTGGATTTAGTGATCTCCCCTAATTTTCAAACAGTCTAATGACTAATTGTTAGCATAAGATTAGAGATGAAAACGACCAGATAATGTCTTTTTCATATCCTTATTTGCTTTGTTGTCAGATTCGGATTGAAGCGGGTGTAGATTCGATTTTTTTTTAATGCTGGAAATAGTATAGAGATGAAGTGGAATCGGATCGAAGACTGATTTAAATAGTCAATAATATATACATACATATAGAATCATATGTTTAATCAAGAATTAATTTAGTAAAAGTGTCATTAGCAATCAGTTCACAATAATCTTATACTGCAGTCCATGTTGTGGCTAGCACACGACACAATTAACATTAACAATATATATGCATAATCATAAATGATAAGTTATTAGCCAATAAGTAAAAGACCACAAGTTCTCAATTCTCTCCTATTTAAATTTTTTTTTTACAAACTTACAATACATGAAACGCGAGGTTCTAGTCTTCACTGCACGTGTCTGCTCTGTTTTTTCCGCAGCTCGCATCAGGGATCCTCTCCCTCCACCTCTACGGCTCTACCTACACTTGTCTAGGTGCAGTGGCAGGATCATGATTTTCATTTTGGATATTTAAAATGTGAAAATATGTCAGGATTTTTTTTTCTTCAAAATAACCTAAACTCCTAATTCTGGACAGCGAGTCCATGGCAACGCGTTCTCGATAAACCGATTCCCGTCAAGTCCGACCTTGACGGCAAGCCCATGGCAACGTCTCTCGTCATCGAGCACGGGCAGTGCTGAGCACGGACTGTGGAAGGCATGGAATGGAACGCGTGGCATGGCAGGCTCGAAAGGGAAGCTCAACGAGGCGGTTGAAGTCGAAGGTGTCAACATTGAGGACGCACGCGTGTGTGACCTTGGCGTGGGTGCGGCTGGGCTTGGGCCGCAGCTAACGCTCGGTGGCTGATGTAGGCCTGGTGCACAGCAACGATCTGGTCCGCTGTTTTTTTTTTATTTTTTTTAAAATTGATAGCAGCTGCTATAGGTTGTCATTGTGAGAATAAATAGAATTGATTTCTTGTATGTGTAATCTAAAACACCAAAATAAAAGGCCAACAGTTTCGTCGGGTTCTTTTTTTAAAAATAGAAATGGACTCCATTACTTAGACGCCACACTATCGATAGTCACAATCGTCCGAATACAAACTGGAACGAAGAAGATCCACTACGGGATTATCGTCCTCCCTACACTCACACCCCAACGCTGCTAGTACGTGGGCAGTCCTATTACATGATCTACAAACAACGCTAATTTGAAATGAAGCGAAGTTTAGACAGGCAAGATCTTGAATTTCTTTGATCAACCTTCCCGCTTCCCGCAACGCGGAGGTAGGGGGCTGGCAGGGGCCATAGCCACCCCCCCCCCCAACATATCACAACAAATTTTTTACTCGTATAAATTTATAATTTTATTTGTAGTAAGAAGGAGAATATAATAAATTTTTTGTCAATATACTTGTTAATCTCTTCCTTTTGAATCCAGAGTCCAAGCAAGGGCACTCGATAACGCCACCACCACGTTGCCCGTTAACCCACTGACCGTAGATGATGTAGTCCGCCGGTGGGTCTTTCCAAGCAATGTAGATGATGCAGTCCGCCGGTGGGTCTTTCCAAGCCACCTCCTCTCTCGTCAGCGTGGGATGGCAACGATCGCCGGGCCTACCTATTGGGTAATCCATGCCCGAGATATTTTCCACTCGTTTTGGGATGGATAAATTGGGGTGGATGATTTTTGGATATGGATAATGGGTAATCCATTTATTCCCCAACAACATCATTAAATACCCCCAATACAAAAACTAGATGTTAACTAGCTATTAGAACAATCTAGGTTTAGAACATCCGAAGAAATGATCGAAACTTCCGAAGAACTAGCCATTGGAACAGAAAAACTAGCACTTGGGTTGAGTCAACACATACAGGTCCTGACAGGCGCAGTTAAAACACCCATGAGACGATCAAACTAATCTTAAACCTCTGCTCATATCGAACTAGTCCCGTATACATCCGGTATGACCTAGCATAGAGCACTATAAGCTAGTTCCTGCAAGGATCTCACTCATACCTTGCATGTGTTAACTTGGGTATTATTATATAATAAACTAATCAAATACCATCATGTTGCATCTCCGGTTGATGGCACTGTAGACAATAGGGGAAGCTGCACGTAGGCTGATAGCGTCATGCGCTTGTGGTTTTCTGCGGGCGTAGGACTCTTCCTATGTCCAAGTGCCACCGTGGTGCGTGGGAACGAGATCCTCTGTAGTCGTGCACAGCGACTCTTCTCTGTGGTCACCGTATATGTGCCGTCCGTTACAATCCCACGGTGAAGCTTGCAAAACCCATATAGCAGGCCATACGGGTGGGGTTACGGTGGCCCATCTGAGCCTACGACATCGGATGATCGTTCCGGTGTGTGAGGGTTACGATTACGGCTATGGGTCATTGGGACAGCGGGCCTCATGCATAATGGATTCTTATTGTGCACCTTTTTTTTTAAAGAGAGGAAGAATATAGAAATATGAAAATGAGATTCCATAAATACGGCCGGAAAAAAGCATCTCCCTGTTTTCCATTTCGTTCCTATACATTTCCATCCTGTTTCTTGTCATGTTTCCAATAATTTTGAGAAATCTGAAAATAATAGATAGAAAAACAGCACGACGGTCTTACTCTTCTGCACGTGAGGTAGCCGGGTAAGCGGTAGCGACACGCCGACACCAGGGAGCCAGGCGCCGCTACGCGTGCGGGCGCGGCGAACCCAGGTGTGCGGCCGTGCGCTGCGCGTGCCGCGGCGACACGAAAAACACCGGACGCCGCTAGAGCTTACTACTGTTCGGTGGAGCCGGCGGACGCGATCCACACAAAAAAATTGGCTGCCTGGATTTCACCACGGGACGACAGGGATTATCCACCGACGGGTTCTAGATGTTACGCGAAGCGCAACCGGACAAGCCCATCCACCAACTCACGAAACTACGGGAGAAAACCATCTCAAATCGCTGCCAATCATACACGAGCAAACTCAACAACATCCGCTCGACCATCGCCGTGACGTGAATGAAGCTATTTAAACCAGGGCTCGCTGCCCCTTGTTCCCTCCAAAACCGCAAGGACGATTGAAACTTGACACGGCACCCGCGTACGACGCTGCATTGCAATTTTGCATCGCTCAGTAACCAGTAGGTAGTCGATCTAGTCCGATTAGTTGCCGATGTCGCCGGCGACCATGTCCCTGACCACGACGACCCGCCTGCCCATCTGCCGGGCGCAGGACTTGTCCAAGCAGGCGCCTGTACAGAAGCGTGCGCCTCCAGCTGCCAAGGCCACGCCTCCTTCGTCGTCATCAGACACCGCCGGTTTCAGCAGGAGGAGGCTGCTGCAGTTCGCGGGGCTGGGTCTCGGGCTCGGTCTAGCCGTGAGAGACCCAGCGCGGGCGCGTGCCGAGCCGGCGCTGGCGCCGGAGGACGTGACGTCGAACCGGATGTCCTACTCGCGGTTCCTGGACTACCTCAACGCCAGCGCGGTGCGGAAGGTGGACTTCTTCGAGAACGGCACGGTGGCCATCGTCGAGCTGGACGACCCGGCGGCGGCGTCGAGGGTGCATCGGGTGCGGGTGCAGCTCCCGGGCCTCCCCGCCGAGCTGGTGCGTAAGCTGCGGGACAGGGGCGTCGACTTCGCGGCGCACCCCGTGGAGCCCAACCTCGGGCTCATGTTCCTCGACCTCCTCCTCAATTTTGGCTTCCCGCTCCTCTTCATCGCCTCGCTGATCTGGAGGTCGGTCACCACGAACAACCCCGGCGCCGGCGGCGGGGGGCCCAGCCTCCCGTTCGGGCTCGGCAGGTCCAAGGCCAAGTTCCAGATGGAGCCCAACACCGGGATCACGTTCGACGACGTCGCCGGCGTGGACGAGGCCAAGCAGGACTTCCAGGAGATCGTGCAGTTCCTCAAGTCGCCGGAGAAGTTCACGGCGGTGGGGGCCAGGATCCCCAAGGGCGTGCTGCTGGTGGGCCCGCCGGGCACGGGGAAGACGCTGCTGGCCAAGGCCATCGCGGGGGAGGCCGGGGTGCCTTTCTTCTCGCTGTCCGGCTCCGAGTTCATCGAGATGTTCGTCGGCGTGGGCGCGTCGCGGGTGCGGGACCTCTTCAACAAGGCCAAGGCCAACGCGCCGTGCCTCGTCTTCATCGACGAGATCGACGCCGTGGGCCGCCAGCGCGGCACGGGCATCGGCGGCGGGAACGACGAGCGGGAGCAGACGCTGAACCAGCTGCTGACGGAGATGGACGGCTTCAGCGGAGACAGCGGCGTCATCGTCATCGCGGCCACGAACCGGCCGGAGATCCTCGACGCCGCGCTGCTCCGCCCGGGCCGCTTCGACCGGCAGGTCAGCGTCGGGCTGCCCGACGTCCGCGGGCGGGAGGAGATCCTCAGGGTGCACAGCTCCAACAAGAAGCTGGACCCCGACGTGTCGCTCAGCGTCGTGGCCATGCGCACGCCCGGGTTCAGCGGCGCCGACCTTGCCAACCTTATGAATGAGGCTGCCATCCTTGCCGGCCGCCGCGGCAAGGACCGCATCAGTGTCAAGGAGATCGACGACTCCATCGACCGCATCGTCGCCGGCCTCGAGGGCACCACCATGACCGACGGCAAGAGCAAGCTGCTTGTCGCCTACCACGAGATCGGCCACGCCATCTGCGCGTAAGTATTATTACTAATCGACCTTCCTTCCTCTTTAATTTGTTCCAAGCTAATGTTCCATTTCCTTCGTCTGATTGATGCAGGACGCTGACGCCGGGGCACGACGCGGTGCAGAAGGTGACGCTGATCCCACGGGGGCAGGTGCGCGGGCTGACGTGGTTCCTGCCGGGCGAGGACCCGACGCTGGTGTCCAAGCAGCAGATCTTCGCGCGCATCGTGGGCGGGCTCGGCGGGCGCGCCGCCGAGGAGGTGATCTTCGGGGAGGCCGAGGTGACGACGGGCGCGGCGGGCGACCTGCAGCAGGTGACGCAGGTGGCGCGGCAGATGGTGACCACGTTTGGGATGTCGGAGATCGGGCCGTGGGCGCTCATGGAGCCGGCCGCGCAGAGCGGCGACGTCGTGCTGCGGATGCTGGCCCGGAACTCCATGTCCGAGAAGCTCGCCGCGGACATCGACAGCGCCGTGAAGCACATCATCGACCAGGCGTACGAGGTCGCCAAGGAGCATGTCAGGAGGAACCGCGCGGCCATCGACCAGCTGGTGGACGTGCTCATGGAGAAGGAGACGCTCACCGGCGACGAGTTCAGGGCCATCTTGTCGGAGCACGTGGACATTGGCAAGGAGCAGAGGGAAACAGCGGCCCGGACAGAGCTGGTCACGTCTTGAAGCTTGACAAGACTACTGTACACTGTAGTTATCGAAATAGGTGCAGGCTGCAGCATAGCTTAGTGCAAATATGCAATAGTATCTGTACTGTACATGGTAAACTCTTTTCACGCAACAAGAACGAAACACATGAATTTCCACATGATTCGGGAAGAGGTTCTCGCGTTCCAAAGGGACCCCGGATTACATAATCGATCGAGCATAAAAGGAGATAACTTGATTTGGATCACATCACTACTCGTGGATTCTTGGTGCTGCCTCCCCTCCTTTGAGAGACAAGAGCCGTCTCTTCTTGTAGCTGTTCTTGAAGCAGGCCTGCCTGAGCCTCTTGGTCTTCTCATCCAGCTGCACATACGGCCTCTGCTCCAGGAGCTGCTTCTCCTGCTGCAGCATCTCCACCACCGCCCTCAGCTGCTCCTCATCGGTCGCCTTGCCCGCCTCCTGCAGGACCTGCACCGCAGCGGACCAGTCTCACAAATTCCCCTCACGGATTGGTTGAATTTATCTGACGCAGAGCATTGTGAATGTCAAACTGGGGGGATGGAGAGACATAGGGAAGGGAAACCTGGACATTCTTGATGAGGGACTGCAGGCTCTTCATCTTGCGATGTGGCCACCTAGGGATGCCCAGTTCCCTGCACCTCTTCTTGAGGAGGGTGAGGCCGACGTTGAGCTCCCGCGCCGCCTGCATGATCGGCATGTAGAAGTACTGCGACACGAGCTCGAACGTGAGGACCGGTTCCTCTGCCCTCACTTGCTGGCCTGCTGCTCTGACGACCTTAGTGTTCGAGGACACTTCCTTCTCCTCCTCGGCGTAGCAAAGCAGCGGCAGCCTCTCGTTGCCTTCAATCTGTACCTTGTTGTCAGACTGCTGCTCCATGTCATCCCAATGCCTCAGCACATCATCCTCAAAGATGGCGTCGAGCTCACCTGCATGCGTCTCAAAGAACAAGACATCGAGTTCGTAAGAAGGTCTCATCTTGCACCTGAATCCGAATCCCATACAAGGAAAAAGAAGCATACCTTGCAGAATGTTGCTGGATGTAATGGTCGAGCACGATGGGTGGAAGTGCAAGCTTGGTAAGGAGAGGCCGGAGAGGAGCGCTTCCTCTTCAAGCAGGTGGCTATCAGGCCAAGCACCTGTCCAGTAAGGCCACAAGCTGCTGCCAATGCAAACAAGAAAAAAATTGCTATTAGCGCACTGACATTCTGTGCAAAAAATTGAGGAGTACGAAGAAGCAACGAGTTTACGGTTTACCTCTCTTCAATCTTGGCCTCCATGGTTCCGGGAGATGCTGGAACGGAGTTGAGGCCAGCAATATAGGGAGTGGAGAAGATGGAAGGCAAATGCGGATCTTTTAAACCCCTGGGATCATTGGGTTAATGGAAACGGCCATTAAAAACCACGCGAGGAATTAATGCAAAGGGTGGCTAATGGATCGGGAGTTACAGATATAATTAGCTCTTGGTAATTGCCGAGCATGCCATTGGGGTTCGTGCACTAGAGAGCATGCATAGTGGTCAATCAAAGCCTTTCGGCTAGATTCGATCAGTTCAAGATTTGTTTCTACTTGCACCAAGGAATGTAGGAGTGCTACTAGCCATCTATCCATGGCATTTTTTTTTGGGAAGTAGAAGTAGCATGGAGTAGTGACTCAATGGGAAATTTCGGGCCTGTTTGGTTGGAAGCCTCCAGACTTGCTTGGAGAAAAGTGTTGCCTAGAATTCTGAGAGAATCTGTCTGGTCAGGCAAGTTGAGAGTTATTCGGTTAGAAGCCTGGCCTGAGCAAAGCTAATGAATAGAGATAATGTGTTTTCTTCTCTACCGGAGAGGTAATTAATTCATTTTCTTAATTAATAATACCTCAAATATACACAAATAAACATACGGTGACAAAATAAAAACAGATAAGTGATTTTTCTTAATTTATAATATGATTAAATTAATGTGTTTTTATTTATCTTTGTATAATTAACATGTATTTTTATAATCTGATTGACCAGAATATATAATTTAGTAAATTATTGTCACGTGTTTAATATTAGAGAATCACGTTTAATAAGATTAAATAGGCAATATATGGATAAATTATATCTTTTAGTATAATATATATGATTTAACATTTTTGATTAAATAATGTGTCGGTGCAGAAAGTGATCAACACATAAATATTTATAGTTTTGCCGTACGTTGTGATCGGAGGTGGCATAACACTCAATGACACAAGATTTATACTGGTTCAGGCAACGTGCCCTACGTCCAGTTTGAGTCGGTCGGTGACTTTATTCCTGAGCTCAGGTGCTCGAAGTTTGCAGTGAGGTTACAAACGAGAAGGAGAAAGATGGGGGTACAAGAGGTCCGGTCGGACTTTGGTTAGAGGGACCGAGAGTGACAGGAGCTCTGCTATGTGCTAAGTGTTCGAGCGTGTGCTTGTGGTTTGAACCTGGTGGTTCTGTTGTTGTGTAGTAGTAAACTTGATCGATCTCTTTGTTGGGAGAGAGTGCATCCCCTTTTATAGATGAAGAGGGTGGCCTTATAAGTGAGATGGAGAGAGTACGTATGCTGTTGAGTCTTGTTGCCCATGCTGGTGGGTACAAGATGATGGTAGGCGCCCACAATATTGTTTAATGTCAGATGCACATGGGAGGTTGCGTTGTCTTCTTCTGGTATGGCAGATGTCGGTGCCTGCTATACTGTTGATGCCCAGAGGCACGTAGGGGGTTTTACTATGTTCGCCTGGTATGGTAAATGCCGGCGCTCACAACACTGTTGATGCCCAGAGGCATATGGAGGGAGCCTTACCGTATTTGTCTGGTATGGGAGTTGATGACGCCTACAACACTGTAGGGGAAATATCGGCGCCTACAACACTACTTGGGCTCTGTCAAGTCAGGGAGGTCGCAGGGTACTGTCCTGCAGGTGTATAGGGTACGGTCCTCAGTATTGCGGTTGACTTTGAGTCCCCTGCCCTACTTTCTCCGTCCATTTCCTGGTCCTTACCGAGTGGGCGTCCCCGGTCGGTTGGTCCTAGTTGACTCTGATTGCGCTAGTCGGAGAGGAGCTGTAAGCAGGGACTCGGTGCATTCTCGGTCGGAGAACCCGACATAATGTGAGGAAAAATAAAAAATAAGTAATCAATATAAGAAATCATAATCTGGATTCCGAAAAATTTAATGGTTATGAACAGTAAAAGATCATTTCCATGCCTCTGTGATAATAACGTCGATGCAATTTTTTTTAGCAAACCTGTATATCATTTGTGAATAATAAAAGAACAGGACAACAATAATTAATAATAGAACAAAAGCGGCACAGTACATCATTAATGCTCAGGCAACCTCACGATCATCCAGTCCCTCGTTTTTGCTAGCCTGGGCCTGGCGTTGTTGCCTGGTATAAGCATGTGTCCAGGTTCGTAACCAAATGAGTACCAGACAACATCCAGGCGACCTGCAGCCCAGGCAAAGTAGAGCCAGGGTGTTAACCAAACACGTCCGTTCTAGCATATACTCGTTGCCTGAGCTAATAATATTATAGAACTTTTCTTTTACAAATTTCAAAGGATTAGTGCTACTCAATTAAAATGCTACTCCTACTTTCTTGGACGTCGATGGCATATATGATTTGGGTTGAGGCTAAGGTTTTTACTTTGGTCATAAATTTATGAACTGATCATTACAGCAATAATTATCATGCATAGCATAGGCAATTATGTATCCATTCAAGAGGCAGGGGGTGAGACATTACTTGAGCAGTTGAATTGGCTTAGGCCAGTCTTAGTGGGAGTTTCATCCAAGTTTAATGAGCTACCATGTAGGCATTTTTGATGATATGTCACCTTATTTAGAGCAAGGCTAATAATACAGCCAGCTGCTGGATGCAAGAATCCTTACAGCCTATCTCTTAGCACACCCATATAGTAGTTAACTCTTCAGTATTAATACATGGCCAACCTGTCTCTCTCACAGAGTTTCTTGGTTCTTATGTCTAAGCCGGTTGTAAGCTTACAACCCGCTTCTCCTCTTTCTCCTCTTCTCCTCCACATCAGCATTCAGCCTGCTATTATACTTGCTCTTATGAAGGGAGAGAAGAAATGAGTTTCATGGGGATGAAACTCTTCTGGCATAATTACCAATTCGCAATGAGTCATGGAATTAAATGTCAATGAAATTATATAATGAAACTATGCATCGAGAGTGATTGTTTCATTTAAGTTTCATTGCATTCTATCTGATGTGGGCACTCTTAGAAACAACGCTACGAAACTCTCCACTGTGACACCTCATCTCCACTGAGACTGACCTCATCTCCATGTAATTTCATCCGTTGGATTTTAAATTCTCCAAGTTGTAGGCAAATACTTGACAGCCACATCACTATTATGGAAATCTGTATGAGTTTACTTTACTTTTTCGCACAATCAGCAGTGCCCTCATAGATCTTCAATTTTTATCAAATATAATAATAAAATATTTGTGTTTTCATTACCAAAGAAAGGTACAAACATTACAAGAGAGCACATGTACAGGCCAAGAAGAACGGAAGAAAGAGCTTGTTTCTACACCGCAAAACCTCTTCTCTCCCCCAAATACAACAATTTCACATAGCCGTCTAGCTCCAATCTCTACATGACCTATAAAAACATTCTAACACTGAAAAAATCTCCTGGGTAAGGGGATGCGAGGTATCCCCTGAGATGAAGACATGCACCTTGTCGTGCAGATCAATCCAACTGTAGCCTGGATGCTTGTGAATCCCTAGCCGTTCCATGTCTTCTCTAACCACAGATGCACTTCCCCACCTCCCCTCATGGGCATGTAAGTTATGCATCAAAACATATGGAGCAGAACTCTCAGGATCAATCTTGGATAATGCATTGGCAGCCACCTCAGCCAGCGCTTCATTCTTTTTAGCAGTGCAGGCTCCCAGGAATGCTCCCCACACAGCTCGGTCTGGAGCAATTGGCATGCTCTTGATCACCTCCAATGCGTCCTCAAGCTGGCCATGTCGCCCTATGAGATTGACAAGCGCAGCATAGTGCTCAACCCTAGGAGCAAGGCCGTACTCATGAACCATGGTATGAAAAACCACCCGGCCTTCGGAGACAAGGCCAGCATTTCCACATGCACTCAGGAGAGAAATAAAAGTTATGTGAGTTGGCATAACCTTGGCACTCCTCATCTCCTCAAACAGGCGCAACGCTTCTGTAGCATTACCATGGTGCTCATAACCTCCTATCAGTGCATTCCAAGAAACTAAATCTTTTTGTGTATGCATTTGGCTGAAGATGGCCTTTGCACTGGTTAGTTCACCACATCTGGAGTACATTGTCATAAGTGCATTGTTGGTTGCCGTATCTGGCAGAAATGATTTTTCAATAAGTTGGTGGAGCTGAGCCCCAAGGCGCAACATGGCAAGTGACGCACATGCTGCTAGAACTGAAGATAAAGTGTGATGATCAGGCCTCTCACCAACTTCTAGCATCCTTTGGAATAGCTTGATTGTACCATTATAATCCTCATTTAGCTCATAACCCGATATCATTGTATTCCACGTGATGGTGCTCCGCTCTGGCATCCTATCAAAGAATCCCCGAGCATGTTCCACATCCCCTTTTTGTGTAAACCCTCGTATCATCAAATTCCAGGTCACTGCATCAGGGTCTGGCACTTCCCAAAACAGCTTCTCTGCCTCCTCCATGTCTGAGACTTGAGTGTACCCTGATATCATAGTGTTCCATGACACCCAGTCCTTATATGGCATCTCATCAAACAATGTCCTAGCTGAGCAAACATCTCCAGTTCTGATATAGCACATCATCATCGAGTTCCACGACACAACATTCCTCTCAAACACCCTCCTCTTATGCCCCTTGTGCTGGCTCTGTGTTTTTGGAATCATAGAAAATAACCTCCTTGCATCAGTTACCCTCCCAGTTTGTCCATATGCAGCAATAAGGGTGTTGAAAGCATCAACAGCCTTGTCCATGTCCATTGCCCTCAAGCGCTTTGTAAGCAGCTCATCAGCCTCGTGCAACCAACCGTTCCTGATAAAACCAGAGACCATTGCAGAGAGTGACGCAGAGTCCTTGACAGGCATTGCCTCGAACACATTGAGTGCCTTCCTCATTTGGCCAATAGCAAAGAACCCCGTGACCATGGTATTCCAAGAAGCCGGATTCCTATGTGGCATCTCATCAAAGAGCCTCTGGGCTTCCTCCATGAGACCGCGGCGTGTGTAGGTGCTGAGAAGTGTGCTCCACGAGACGGCATCGCGCTGAGGCATCTCGTCGAACAGACGGCGCGCGGCGGCGAGGTGATCGGGTTGCAGCGATCGAGCGTACGCAGCAAGGAGCGTGTTCCAAGAGATGATGTCTCGCACCGGCATGGCGTCGAAGAAGGACCGCGCAGCTCTCACGTCACTGCGGCGCGAGAGCGCCGCGAGGAGCGAGTTCCATGTGACCACGGAGCGGGCAGGAAGCGCGTCGAAAAGGCGGCGGGCGGCAGAGAAGCGACCGCTGCGGAGGAGCCCCACAAGAGAGCGGTTGTGCTGGCGGACAAGGACGTCGCCGTGGTCCATTGCCACGGCTACTTCCGGTGTGGCCGGGGCGCCGGCATGGCGGTGAGCGACGGCCGCCGGGAGCCGCGGCGGCCATCTTCGCATCAGGTATAGACCGTTCGGGTGTGACGCAACGCGGCAACCACACTTCGGCCCAAGCGGCCCACATATGCTGAGATATTTTTTTACTTTTCTTTCGTTTCACCAATCATACTAGAGACTGCAGTGCTACGGCCAGACGTCAGGACGAACGCCAGTGCCTGCATTTTATTTTGCGCGCCCCACGCGGGGGCCATACCTCCCGAACGTCATCAACATCGACAGGGGGGGCTGCGGCTCTGGTTTGGAAGGACCCGTGGTGTGGGAGGGGGGGGCGCCCGCCTTCGCTCTGGTTCGGAAGGACCTGCGGTGTGCCCTGGCTGCAGCGTCTAGGGATGAAAACGGATCGGATACGGACGGATATCACCGATATTACATTTGTTTTCATATTTCTATCCGGATTCGGATTCGAATACGGATAGTGTCAACTATGTCGGATATGATATGATTGGATATCGACATCATAAATATGCGATTTGAGTATTCGGATACGGATACGGTATCGGATGTTGGATATCCGGACTCGGATACGGACAGATCTCAACCCCTCTAAACGGATTCGGTTTCAAATACGGTCGGAAAATATCCGTACTGTTTTCATCCCTAGCAGCGTCGTATCGGATGCCCAGCTGGCATCGGGAGGAGGAGGAGGAGACACCGAGGTGAGGCAGCAAAATGCGAGGAGGAAGTTTCAACGCCCAATTTACTTTTGAAATATCCAGATACAACACTTATAACATACGTTTGAAGATAGATGAAACACTTAAACATATGTCTGAAACACTTATAAAAACACCTGAAAAACACTTAAAACCATTGCAAACATATGCAACATCTAGATAAAACACTTGTAACATACGTGTGAAACATATGTAACATCCAGATAAACACACTTGCAACATATGACTGAAAAAACAGATGAAGCATTGGAAACAGAAGCTTGCAACATACTCGTACAACCATTGCAATATATGCAACATCCCAATCTACTTTTACAACATCCATATGAAATACTTGCAACATACATATGAAATACTTGCAACATACATATGAAACATCTGAAATACTTAAACATGTGTTTTGCAACATACGGGAGGTCGGTGCCAGTCGATGCCAGCCATCGGGGTAGAAGCCGGCGGCAAGCGACGACGCGCGAGCACCAACACCAGCACCAGTGGTGGCACACTAGCACCACCACTACCAGCGCCACCAACACTACCAGCGCCACCAACACTGTGTTTGGCTCAGGCGGGCGGGCAGCGCGTGACAGGAGGGAGCGAGCAAGCGGTGCAGAATGTGGCACGTAGTGAGCGCGTGGCATCCGAATGTGAGACGGGAGCGAGCAAGCGGCGCAGAATGTGGCACGTAGTGGGCACGCGGCATCCGAATGTGACAGACGGGAGCGAGCAAACGACGCAGAATGTGGCACGTAGTGGGCACGCGACATCCGAATGTGACAGACAGGAGCAAGCAAGCGGCGCAGAATGTGGCACGTAGTGGGCGCGCGGCATCCAAATGGGACAGACGCCCACATCGTGTCGTAACATTACCATACTAGAAATTATGCTATGTTGTATTATGCTTGTTGGTGTTTGGGTTTTTTATGAGTAAAATGCACAATTAGTACATAAACTTGGCACGTGGGTGCGATTAGGTACATCATCTCTCTAAATGTACATATGAACTAGAAAGTTACCCCGTGCGCGGGCAACAGAGCACGCTGTGTTCAACAGACATAGTATTGTAGCATGTATAAGCAGATTAAAGTAATGGCATATTCTATACAGGGAGAACAGGACTATGAAAGTTAGAAGTTTTTGTGCTTCAATGGCAGTTGGTGGTGGCGGGGAGATGCTGATCTTGCATATGTGTTGAGAAAAAGCCCAGAGGTGTGTTGTCTCTGTGGTTGAAGCAGCTGATACCTGTGTACACATTGGAAAGGAGGTTTTAAACTGGATGGTCAAAGTAGGGAGTTGACATGTTACTATGTTATGGTTACGGCTGTGGAACATTTTTGTCGTTGCAATATGACCGAAGAAAAGAATGTGTGCATATATATAAATGGAAATGATCCCACATCGTAGCACTGTACCTTGAGGAGCCGTAATTATCTGTAAACTGAGATTCATTTATTTCCTTGCGCAAACCTTTGAAGAGGGAGTATAAACTTAGCGGTACCTTGTGAGCAGCGCCTATGAAGATAGATGGTTCTGTGGAGAAGAGCGGCTGGGCCGGAGGTTTGGGGTAGCACGGTGCCAGCCAATAAGTTGTCAGTCACGTGCTGATCTGCATAAATGTGCTGGGATTATAGGTCTTTGCAGATGGAGAATGGAAACATTGTTTATAAAAGATGAATTTTGCTATACAAACATGCTTAAATAGGTACACTATTGAGAGTGGTATTGCTGCAATAATTGGCAAAATAATAAAAACTCGAAAAATTTAGGTAAAGATCAGAATCCTAGAAGTATAGGGGAATCTTTGGTACCTTTTTGCTTGGAATATACAGTAATAGAATAATATCTGGAAGGATTGCATTGTAGGCAGGATGGCTCACTTGCAGCACACTATCAATTTCATGTTGAATTCTGCAATTCAAAGAATCTAAAATAAATCGAACTGGAGCTGATGAAATCTGAAATGAGAAAAAATGAGGACACCAGGAGCTGATCTCCACTGCTGGAAGATAATCCTATTGTTTATATCCACACACATACAGACCAAGGAATAACGGTACAATAGATAAACAAACATAATTGGAGATGTGATGAGCAGGCACGAACCACTAAAATACAATAGTGCAAGGAACAACAGGTGTTGTTGGTGTAAAACTAAGCATGTAGAACGACCAGAAGCTGGGATTAAAAAAAAAAAAAAAACAGTGCCAGCTCATGTAAAACCATTGTACATGAGTCTGCATGAGGTTACATGGCCCAATAGAAATGATACTGTAGATAACATGTAAAAAGAAGTATGCACAATACTATCAGTGGTTGCTAGGGGACGATAGGAAAGCTTAAGGCATGAGTCTGCACTGATTTTTCCTCTACAAATAGGAGCAGATGGGGTGTAATTCTCATGAGGAAAATACAGTGACAAAAATTGTGTATCCTGATATCTTGTGTATTATAGAGCATGGAACACAGGAACATGTGGGCTTTGTACAGCATGCATCAAACCTGAAGTAGAAAGAATTACCTTGGGGATTACATGTTCGGAGTTGCCAAGCCTGGGAATGTGTTCCACCAGAATAAGCATGATCATGAAAAGATGATTAGTTAGAGGAAGAAGAAAACATTCATCACCTAGAAGTGCGCAGGCACATTGAAAAACGGCATGTTAAGTGAATCACAATATGAATTCCTCTAAATAAAGTCTTGATATCATTACGCCCGCGTCGCTCCCCCACACGGGGCGACTCGGGCGGCCCCTGCCGCGCCGCCTCCCTCTCACCCCTCTCCTCCTCGCCCGCCGCGCCGCCGCCGGAGCTGGCTGCCGGCATGGCCGCCCGGCCGGTTGTGATGGTGGCGGCGGGGCTCTCCCTCCTCGTGTTGACGGCGCACCTGCAGCAGGCCGGCGGTCCGACCCCGCGCGACCGGCGTGGAGGTTGATGAGGTGGTGCCATGGCGTGCTCTTCTGCAGCCACGTGGTGAGTGTCCGTCTGGCAGCGAGGGGACGGCGGCGAGGTCTTTCTCTTCTCGCGCGTTCCTTTCTCTCTCTTGATGGCGGCGGCGGCGGCTGGCCGAGGCCGCCGGTCCGGGCCCGATCGGCGGATCCGCACCCCTGAGCTACGGATCTGTCTTGGCGACCAATGGCGGCGGATTCTTGCGGCGGCGGCGGCGGCGGTGGCCGGGGCCCATGCATGCTGGGGGGCGGTTTCTTTCTCTCTGCCGTCCCTCCCTCATGGCCTTATTGCTGCGTCTCGGGGTCAGCTATGCCCGCCGGCGGCGACCTCTGCAGCGCCGCCTGCCGGCGGCGGCCATGGCGCCAAGGCGCACGCAGTGTCTGCAGCTATGGTCAAGACGGAGGCGTCGGCGTCGGCGGGGCGCGGATTCGGGCTCTGGCGTCTGGATTCGGCGGCCCAGGACATGGGGCGAGCCCGACATGGTGGGGCACATCAAGCGGTGATGACGGCAATGACATCGACAGTGCCAAAGCCGACGACGTTATCAAATCTGCGCCTCTCAGCGTCTGGCGTGACGCGAAAGCAGAGTCGTCCGGCTCTGCGTGGCCCGGTCGGAGGGGGTGGCGGCCGACGATTTGTCAGCGGCCGCTACGTGCAAAATGGTGCGTCGTTGCCCTCTCTAAGGGGCTTCCGTGGGCGCCATGACAACGGCGATGGCGGTGAAAGGCGGCACGGTCCGGCCAGCGACCCCGCGAAGTGTGCTAGAGGGTTCTTGGGCGAAAGTTTTGGCGACGGCGGCGACGCTGCTACGCGCGCTTCCTGTTGGGGGCGTCGTATTTCCCGCATACAGCATGTCTTCCAAGGGTGAAAACTCACCACTTTGGACGTCGACGGTGACGCCATTGGCGCCACTCCCTTCTCAAGCGTCGCATTTGGATTATTGTCGCGGTTTCGATGCGGGGCGATGGTTTGCGTTTGGAAGTCGGAGCCGCTCTTGGTGTTTGAGCTTGCAACGATGACCGGTGGCGCCATTAGCTTTAGACCCGTCGGGGGTGACTAGTGGGTGGCCCGCCATGGAAGTTGGAGCACCGGCGGCTTGGCTTCCATGCTCGCAAACGATGACCCATGGCAGTGTGTCGTGTTTGTGCTCAGCTGCGTCGCGTGGGGTGGTTAGCCCTTCGGGTGCCTTTCTGGCATCTCGTCCGGCTAACCTTCTTGTACATAATATTCTTTCGGCTTAATTGAGCGGCAGAGCTCCTGCCTTTTGTTTCAAAAAAAAATTTATAGATATAGTGGG